AAATAAGGTGGATACATCTCATATTACTGATTTACTGGTAGTCTTGAAACTCTATGTACGAGAAATAAAAAGACTTTATCGGGGAAGCCTTCATTTGGCATAAAAGTGCATGAAGAAGCAATTCGAAAGTCGATCTCAACAGAAGACCACAGCTTCATACGAAGATTCATCGAAACCTAGTTACTGCCTAGGCAAGGTCGAAACAGCAGTTCATTCTGGATAAGAACACCTTTAGGAAGGTAAGGATATGTGAAATTCAATGAAAACGTCATCATTTGGGGACAATTCAACTACAAGTCCTTCGTCATCTTAAATAAATAGGGTGAACACAACTCATATAAAATTTATTTACTATGACAATCGACTAGAATACTTATCTTTAGTTCATGAGTAGGTTTTCGGGACTACCTGCAGATCTGATATTAGAGCTGTATTCATCTTATTCCATCTTTCAATATCTTACAAACATACAGTTCTTAAATGAGATCTACTGGTGGTCTTTAAGAGCTTCTCATAAAAAAAAACAAAAAGCACTATTTGTCCGATTTTCTAGTTCTGTTTAGGTCTGACGAGGCTGACTAGAATGCCGACCTAATGCCACCACCATCGAGTTACGCAATCACGCCGGGACTCGAACCCAAGCGTTGAGCTATATGGGGTATGGAGACGTTTGTTTTTTCCCGGCAAATGAAATTTTTTAGGTGATGTGGCTAAATTTTCCCATCAGTGAATGAGTACGCTTTGTGACGCTTATCAATTTTGATGTGGGAAAGATCTTACAGAATGCTTGCTGACAACCTAGAAACATGTTCCAATTAAAGTTTGTCCTTGCGCTGAGACTAAAACCGGTAGTTGTCATTCGATTAAATCACAGAAAGACATGCAGCTTTTTGAGGGCTTTAGCAAAGATTTGCGTCAGCAACCCAAATTGTCTTACGGTCTAGAGGCCGGCAATGAAGTGTTGCGCTGCCCTGATTGCAAACCTTGTCCACGGACAGACGAAAATATACAAGTGCCTCACACCATACAGCATTAGAAGATGACGCCCCCTTATGACGAGATCCGACCAGACATGACGACAACGAAGCCCTGATCCACTTTTGGTAGGTACAGGGGGAGGGGGCAAGGCGACGCGAGCCAACCTCTATAGTCATGAGCAGGGATCACACCCCGACGCAATCGATACCAATGTGAATTTCGTGTGCAAATAAAGCCAGTTGAAGCAAGGGTGTTTTCGAGACAAACCATTCTCGACGGTTGCTATGGCATCCCACAAGTACATTGTACTTGTGTCGCGGTGATCGATTCTGCCGACGGCGAGGGCACGTCTCTTTGCCAAAAGGTGATTCGCAAATTTACGTATTGAAGTAGTTTGTATGATAAAATGATCAGAACTAAAAGGTACGTCTAAATGGGGTGTCAAGGCGACAGTTCAACTTGACAGCAGAACTGGTCAACTGCCCTCAAACTAAACGAGATAGCATCGCTTACGCCCTGAGTCTTATCCACGATGAAACCTCAAAGAAGGAAAACCTCGACCAGTTACTAGGGTCGTGGTACCAGCTGCACTCGGTACGAGGTTGATTGAGTAAATGGAACACGTCAACTTGGCCCTCTTTTGCGGAATTGGTCTGGCGTCACTTTCGTGTAGCCAGAGCGACATCGAAAAAGGTACCTTGTCCCACGCCCTCTGGCATGGAAGGTATGAGGATGTCCATCGTCTAACCGTCAAATTGGTACATTCGCAGATGTGGAGGAGAGGTGTAACCGACCCGGTGGCAGGGGACGAATGAAAAGTTTATACAAATGTGATTGGAAAGAGTATCTTCGATTCTGTGAGGGAGATTGTGATTGGAGTTGAATGAAATAGTTTCCATGAGACTCAAATTTTCGTCTCAAGTCGAAAGAAAAATTGGTTGGACGGTGAGTTAAGGACTTCACTGCTCAATTCGACAAAGTCGACTTCACGGCAATTCAGCAATACTTTCGGATGGGACCAATTCACGAGACATATTACATTATTAAGAGACTTTTAATAACCCACAGCTTATTCATATAATATACTTTCATATGACAATTTTGGCACCGAAAAAGGAAGGGAGAAGGTGTGTTAAGACATCTCAGGATTGATAAGTGACAAGTTGCGATAGAGTGAGTGAAATACGAGAAAGATGGACAAAGTGTGGATTTAATTTTTCTTTTTGTTGAGTGTTAGTTTCATACCGACATGCCGACTATGATGCCGGTGAAATGTCTATGAATGTCAATATTCATCACTCTCATTTAGACTGAAAGAGTGTGTGCGGAAGACATTGTAATGTCGATAGCATCAGAAGACGATGGCTTTACTGGAACATTCTATTCGACGCTGTTTCCGAGGCAACCTCCGTTTGATTTTTGTAAAAACGTGTTAAACTTTCGTCCACCATTCTTACTACCACACTTAAGCTAACGAGACTAGAAACTTCCAGCGATTGTAAACTAAAAAAATTCCTCGAAACCCAACGTTTCTTCTTCTGGGAGTGTACCAAGTCCGCTGGAGGTTATCATGTCTACTATGATGGGGGACGTTGGACGATGAAACGCCATCAAGATGACCCTGACAACACGATTTAGTTGCGAAGACAGCGTCACACCAACTTGATTCGACGAGAGGGGATTGCCATCAAAATGGAAGCCACACCATTTTGGCCTTCAGTTATACTCTTTCCAGACAAGTGAGCTGATAAACTTGGCTTGCGTCAGTTCAAACGCAACGCCAAGCGTTGAGGTATCCAAATAACATCTTTCGCACAACTTGGCCTTGGATACTTGATCTTTTCGCCGAAATTCCAATTAATTTCTGACTTACAAGTTGGTAATCCGTCCTTTTCGAGAGAGACAATTTCCTAACAGCCCATAGTCCTTGCCGTCAATGCCAGATTTCGTCGAAATCTCAACTTTGTGTGCCTCTTTTGCACGTATTCATTTCCAAGCCCGGTCAGCAAGTCTGCTCCGGGTGCACTGGGCAGCCTCGATTTGCCAGTTCGTCCGGTACTCTTCACTCGATTCGACACGGCCCCTCGCTGACCTCTCGACGGATGCGCCGAGTCTGCAGGTGTATGGGGCATAATTGTACATTGCTTTTTCTCTCTTCACCTCTTTGTCCGAACACACATGTGCATACATCGACTTGCACTCTTCCACGAATTTCTGCCCCCATGTGCATGTGGATAGGGGCACTTGCATGTCTGTGCGTGTATGTGTGTGCGGGTGGGTGTGCTTTGATGGTTATGTGCAAGTGTGAATGTATATGTGTGTAAGTGCCATTGGATGCCATTTTGCAGACCGAGGGAGGATGAGATAGATCCGAATGCCAGATTCCTCCGGAAAGTTGAGGGCATCGCGACTCTGTCAGAGGCTAGAGCTGGGCGCAAAGTACCTTCAGACAAGGTTGCATGCGGCGGAAGCTGGTGTATGCGAAGTAAAGCTTAGTCATGTCATTCGGCCGGCTCGAGGAGTGTGAGGAGCAAATAGAGGCCAGAAGTGGAAATGGCGATAGCCTTTGAAGTGGCGAAGTAATAAGCCTCTTGGCAGGCAGGTAGGCAGGCAGAGTGGAGACGGAACTTGCCGTCCGGGAGTCTTGGTTACCAGAAGAAAGGCCCGTGCCAGCCAGACCAGCCAGCCCCAGGCAGGCACTCACGCCCACCTCATGACACCTCGTCTAAATGATATTTTTGGAGGTAGCTCCACATTTTTTTGCCCACACAGACGAATGCATGTAATTCACTTCCTTTCACTTCACTTTACTTCAATTCAATTCAATTCAATTCAATTTGATTCAATTCAATTCAATTCAATTCACTTCTGTTCTCTTCACTCCACTGCACTTCACTTAACAACATTTCACTTTAGTTCACTTCTCTTCACGTCATTTTGCTTAATTTACACATCTCTTCTCTTCTCTTCACTTTACTTAACTTCAATTCTGCTCTCTTCGCTTGAAAAACTACACTTCACTTCACTTCTTCACTTCACTCCTTCACATCTCTTCTCTTCTCTTCTCTTCTCTTCTCTTCTCTTCTCTTCTCTTCTCTTCTCTTCTCTTCTCTTCT